TCCTTTTATCATATCCAGAGGCCACATGCTCTCACGTTATCTTCCATCTTCTCACAACTAAGATCCATTTTCCCTATGCATCATGGGAGAAAGACTGACAATGTCTATGTTTCCATTGTCCTTAGTAATTCATCTCGACCTGCACTTCACCACATCCACCTCTGTTTTATTGAAAATAGTGTGTTGGGGGGGGGGCAAAGCGATGTCAGTAAACACGAATTCTCTAAAGCTCTGAGGACGCCTACTCCATCACTCCAACGTTACACAGAAAACTATTTAGATGAATGATCATTTTAGACCAACTTTTATAACATCTCAAATCAACCTTATCTCTCACCTTGAGTCCTGAGATGAATACAGACATGCTCAACATTCAGACCATAGAGATCTTATTAAATTGCTAGAAGGGCTATGTCATAAACTCCCAAAGTTCCAGAATGGGGTGAAAATGGCAGCCATATTGGTCGGGTAGAAATCCAAACCAGTCTAATTGGAATGAATGGCAGTAGAGGCATAATCCTGATTTTACTTATGCAGGACAATAAAAGTAAGGCATGTGATATATCAGAAGTTGTGTAATGGAATTATTGTCAACCTAAAATATTGTCATATAATTATAAAGTTTATACAGGTTTTATACCACATTTCTGTATAAATAGCCTCTAAAATACACTGTGTACAAAACATTAGGAACACCTTCCTAATATTGCGTTGCACCCCCTTTTGCCCTCAGAACAGCCTCAATTTGTCGAGGCATGGACTCTACAAGGTGTGAAAGTATTCCACTGGGATGCTGGCCTATGTCGACTACAATTCTTCCCACAGTTGTGTCAAGTTGGCTGGATGTCCTTTGGGTGGTGGACCATTCTTGATACACACAGGAAACTGTTGAGCGTGAAAAACCGGTGCACCTGGCACCTACCAAAGGCACTTAAATATTTTGTCTTTCCCATTCACCCTCTGAATGGCACACATACAAAATCCATGTCTCAATCGTCTCAAGTCTTAAAAATCATTCTTTAATCTGTCTCCTCCCCTTCATCTACACTGATTTTAAGTGGATTTAACAAGTGACATCAATAAGGTATCATAGCTTTCACCTGGATTCACCTTGTCAGTTTGTCATGGAAAAAGCAGTTTTTCCTAATGTTTTGTACACTCAGTGTAAATGTAAACAAACCATAAATGTCTCAATTTTAGTTTTCTTGGAAAGCTGTGAAGGCTATTATATGATACAATATCAGTACTTGTTGCATTTACAAATTGTCTAAGCCCTATCATCAACTGATTTCAGCCAGTGTATGGCTGTGGATTGACTGTATTGTTTGAATGGAATATTGGCAGTTAATTTGAAAAATGAATGGAACCATTCCTCTAAAACTGGATGGCTAGCAAGCTAACAAACATACAGTGCAGATACATTCTTCAAATGCATTATTTTACACTATCTTATCACAGCGCTGGCAAACCATGTTTGACCAACTCCCTTACCAAAATGGCTGACCTTTATCCCATCATAAGAAGGTTCATGTCCATTCTAGTACACGCTCAGTGTTCAGAGAGAGGTAATACAGACACGCTCAGTGTTCAGACAGAGGTAATGCCCCAGTCATACATGCAGTAGAACACTCTCTCTCTGACTCACACCCATGACCTTACTGACCTTTGATTCATACACAAGTAATGTTATTCTGCATCACATTCTGGCCTTTTGAAATCTCCTTGATGGTGTCTGAAGTAGCCCTGCAGCAGGAGTGATTGTGATGGTCCATCTCTGTGGGTTTGCTCCTGGGAGCCTAATAGTACAGACAGTGTATGCTCTGCTGAGAGAGGCTATACAGTTCCAGATTTTACACTGGGTGGTTTTTAATTGACTTTCCTCTGGTCTTTAAAGTATATACTATTCTCCTGACTCGTCTGGTTGTAGTAGAATCACTGCCAGGCTGAGATGCCTCGTCTGAGGTGGACTGCTCTTGCACAGATACACACAGGCATTGAGACATACATACATACATACATACATACATACATACTTACATTTACATTTACATTTTAGTCATTTAGCAGACGCTCTTATCCAGAGCGACTTACAGGAGCAATTAGGGTTAAGTGCCTTGCTCAAGGGCACATCGACAGATTTTTCACCTAGTCGGCTCGGGGATTAGAACCAGCGACCTTTCGGTTACTGGCACAACGCTCTTAACCACTAAGCTACCTGCTACATACTTCATTACGAAAACACACATCTCTGCCATGCTAAAGCTGGTTGTCACACTCTTCTCCATGTCATTACAGCTCTTCTCACATGTATTTATTGTCCTATTTGCCTCTGTCTCCCTTCCCATCCTCTCTCTGGTTTCACTTGGGCATTCTGCAGTGTTCATTTCAGGCACTATTTAACTTTGAAAAGACAGCGCCGCTATGGTCTTGTTTTTTACCTTTAAATCGGCCTCTAAAACAGTTTGAACGTGAAGCTTGTGATATGGTACCAGTACATTGGTTTTGCTGTGTTAAGTTTACTGGTAAATGTTGTCTTGTACAGTATTGTCACTGTGACAACCTCTCTTTCCTTGGGGACTTTACAGTAACAGGTTGTTAGTTTACAATGCAGTGAAAAGAGGCCGAAATAGGATTTGAAAGCTATTTAGACATACAAAAGGAATGCTGTTGTTTTTTTGAATGTTTTAAATGAGCTAGTGATCGCCGTAAATAATAATTTATGTGGAAATTGAATACTGCGGCATAATTGTACCAGTGTCTGTTTATGCATGCACATTTCCATTTTGAAACAAATTGATATGCCGTTATGCCTATTAACTGCAAGACCTTGTATAATCCCTCCTGAAATAGTCCCATGATATGTATTGGTTCATGTTGTTTACTTGCTGTAGATGGAAAGCAGTGGATGCTGAAGGATGTGTGTGTGTGTGTGTTTTGCTTAGTAGGGGTGGAGGCCTTTGGAGGCACTCATTAACTCCACTGTATTTCTCTCTTCCAGGGAGATCTCAGTTTTCCCAGGAAGCTGCTAGGGATTATTGAACCCTGGGTGGAGTGTGTGTGTTGGTGTTTGCGTGTGTGGTGACTCAATTATGGCTCAGGTACTGCTTCTCAGTTGAGGATGTGAGTTCAATTTGCCATTCTGATGAGGGAGGTGCTTTAATGTTTTGGGACATTTTAGCTTCTGAAAATGGTAACCCTTTAGACGTGCTCCTTTTAAAGGTGTTGCTGTACTGATACCATTTTCATAATGAAAGATGTGCAGCAATTCTGGCTGCCTCACATTTTACGTAAATTCTGAAGGATAAGGAGGAGGCATGCAGTGAGTAGAGGACAGGCTAAAAAAACAAGAACAACCACTTCCAACAGAAGTACTTAAGATCTTAAAGGCAGATATCCTTTTATTTTCTGTTCAGGCAACAAAAGCTTTTTCACTTTCAAGTACTCTTAAAGGCTGTGATACTAATCCTTATAAATGGAAACCCTATAAGTGACTATTGTTGGCCAAAACAATATGTCACATGAATGTATTCAAGTCAAGCACTTCACAGACATTAAAAAAACTCTACAGTACACCAGTCTACATAGAATTGGAGGGCAATGCCATTTAAAACATAACAGAGACAAATAGCAAACATCATAGAGTGCTGTCCATTAAATGGGAGGCAACTTGCTGAGAAACAACCAATCTCCGATTGGTTGACCTTCAATAAATCAAATGTTGAATAACTAATTAAAGGCTGTGATTGCAGGTTTATTTTCCCCTCCTGAAAGCGGAGAGATTGGGCAGCGGGTATTGAAGATGAGGATTTAATCATTGCTGACAATGAGTTCGCCTACACAACCACAGTTTGATCCATTAGACGTGAGTGGCAGCTGAGATCCATGCTCACTTACTATTGTGGTCGGCTTTAATTGAAATTGGTAACTGAGTGTAGAACATAATAACCCCCTGCGTCCATTCGCCTACATACGCACAGACATACACGGATTCACACATACGCATGCGCACGCACACACACACCCATCCCCTCTTGCAGGCAAGGTTTTTCTGTCCCCATCACACCGACATGTGACAGATTCCCCTGGACTAGTCAACCCAATAATGGAGTAGCCATTTCATTTAACCCAAGAGTTGTGCTAGGGTTTTAAACATGGCATTGAAGAATAAAGACCAGAATGGCAGGCGTAACACATCTAAGACGTCTACTGTGATGAAACATTGCCTATTATAAAGACATCTGGAGACACTAATATCATCAATCAATAACTGCTACAGCATTACTAGCCTGTAAACACACCACCACCGCAGTAGGTCAAGGGCCCTGCCTAATGCAAACCCTATCATCAGTGTGTGAACTATGTGAATGGTGACCACCCTGGCTTGGTTCCCCATACAACCCCAGATTCAGGGGCCTTTGAGGCCCTACTCTCCTGCCGTGCATCCAACCTGCCTCATTATTGACCCCATAAGGAGACAGAGCCATGGTGTAGGAGAGAGTGCTGCCTAAATGATGTTGGAGGCCTGTTCCCCCAAACAACTGCCCCCTGTGGTGAATTCGCATTATTCAACATTAAACGCCCCACATGGTGCACCACAGTGTGGGGTTCTTTTTTCCCTCCATTTTCGACTCACTGCAGACCCTGAATGGCACACCTGTCTCCTGGCATATCCTTTGAAATAATAAGTGTGCTGTAATTGCAGGGGAGTGGGAATTTCATACATCACTTCCTGACCTTGGGAGTGACAAACTTTAGAGGCTACATTTATGCCTCCTGAATGCATTTTTAATGTGGCCTAAAATGTGTTTGGGCATTATTCCGTGCCGGATGGTGGAAAGCGTCTGTGACAGTGCTAATGGTTACATTTTGCCAGGAATCATGAAGTGGCAGATAAGATTGTCCCCTTTATCAAACTCTGAAAAGATCTGGTTGGAGAATAGATGGATTTATCGCCTTATTCAAATGCTAATGCAATCTGTGAAAAAATGAATTGAATTCACATGTATGAAGATGCATTCATCATCCGGGTTATTGACAGCTTCGCTGGCAGTCACCCTAATGGAACTGTGGTAAGGTAGTTGGCTCAGAGCTAGCCTGAAAGAGGCTCAGTTAGCAGCAGGCTATCCTAGCCTAACGGACATTGAGTTAGCCGATTCAGAGAACTAGCCTAACAGAGGGTGAGTTAGCATGATAAAAGAGGTTGATTTAGCAGAAGGCTAATAGGGGAAAGGGGGATACCTAGTCAGTCGCACAACTGAATGCATTCAACCAAAATGTGTCTTCCGCATTTAACCCAACCCCTCTGAATTCGAGAGGTGTGGGCGGGCTGCCTTAATCAACGTCCATGTCATCGGCACTGGGGATCAGTTGTTGGGGGTTAACTGCCTTGCTCAAGGGCAGAAAGACAGATTTTTCCACCTTGCTGGCTCTGGGATTCGAACCAGTGACCCTTTTGGTTACTGGGCCAACGCTCTTAACCACCAGGGTACCTGCCGCCATTCAAAAGTAGCTTATCAAGGTAGCTTCTAGAGGTTGAGTTAGCAGCAGGCTCAGAGACCTAGCCTAACTGAGCACTAGGTCAAACACCTCCCCCTTTTCTCTCTCTCTCTCCATCAAGCCTCAGATTGTTCCCCTGATCTTTCTTCAGAAGTTCTTGGAGCTAACCCTGCATAATGAGGGTTAGGAGCGATGGGCGTTTCTCTATTTTATTCTCTCTCTCTTTTGAGTGAGGGCTGTCGACAGCACCCCTTCCAAAGCTGTCATCTCACCATGCTCGCGAACAACCAAGTGTTGGAACAAGTTGCCTTCTGTAATAACTTGGAAACCCTGCCAGTTTCTCATCTCAAAATAAGCAGTAATGAATTTAATTAGAAAGCTGTTGCATATCTCTGTGATACATTTCTTTTAATTAACCCCATGTGAATAAATTAAAAATAATAGGGGGTGAAAGTGTGGAAAAAAACACCCTAATGAAGTTATCCGTTAATTGGGATTGTTTCTGCAGGCAAACCACAGTGAGTTATGGCCACCAGGAGCTAACAAATCGTGCTGTAAGCATCCCTGCCTCCACAGAAAAGGGCCCATGCTAACTTCAAGTGTAAGAAATACACCTCTGACGTGATGGAAATGACTGGCGGCCTGGAGAAAAGGCAGCCCTGTTCCAGGCCACTCTGCTGAGACGCCCCACACCGCGCTTGAAGCCGGGCCAGTGTTATTGCAGCCCTAATGCGGTCGCCTCATTTGGAGCGGATCAGGAGTAATTATGGTGGGGAAAGTGGCTGCCGACCACGGGGGTCAGGACACTTGTAACATGTGAAAAGAGCAATTATTTCAGGAGACAAAACTCTCCCTTATCCCAGTGCAGGGCCAGGGTCAATGCAAGGGACGGCTGGGCTCCGTTTCACCGGGGCTTATTAGCCGCAGCAAGCTGCAAAGTTTGCCAGAGTGCATCTCGTTAATGAACAGACCCCTCATCGGCACCAGGCCCTGCTCTACCCCACTTACTGGGGGTGTTAATTATGTCATTCTCAGAGCATGCAAGCCCAGCAAGCACTTCTCACAGACCCAAGCATTCATAACACAACCGCCTGGAAAAGAGGCTGTACTATACTGTAAGAGATCACACCCAGACAGAACCCACAGGACTAGTCTAAAACATGCTGAACATAAAATAAGGTATGATTGACTGCATGGGCCTGTGAACGACTACCGCATGTCGTTGTTTTCTGTCTTGGAGCGATATGCTCCAACTGCGGAGGGTAATATGAATCATACAAAGAACAGAGCAGGCTTGATTATGCTTATCATTTTGAATGCACTCATTTGTCTGCTTTCAGCTGGCCTATATTCCAGCTGATATTATGACCAGATGTCTTGTGTTTTGTCTTGGCAATAGAGGAGAATGGGTGTCTACAGGCTCAATTACAGTAATGATGTGAACTGATTGAAAGGGGCTGATTCATGCAGACAATGGCAGGACATCTGCCTGAGATCCCCATTAACCTCTGTGGCGGCTGCCTCGGCCCTGTCTGGGACAACATTCTACTCTGGATTGCCATGGCCACAGCGTTTTTACAGTGAGAGCGGGAACACAAAAGCCTGGGTTTACAGCTCCAGCCTCTTCCAAGCCACTGCAGTATTCACCGAAAATTCAACTTGAGCAACGCCACCACTGGCTAAGGAGCTCAAATGGTTAGGCTACACCAACAGGACTGCAAATTGCTTTTACCAACCCAGAATCTAGGAGTTCATTTTTCCCACTCTCAACATAGTAGAAAGAAATACTTAATAATAAACATTAGATTATAATTACTGAATTTAAATGCTGTCCAAGAGAGCATGGTTAATTTTCCCATACAGAGTTGATCTGTTGGAGATGGGCTTTTAGAAACAATCATATCCTTATTGGGAAATGCTTAAACAGGAATCAGTGTATAGATTCATAGTGCCTGATTTAATGTGTGTCTGTCTGATGTCTTCTGCAGGAGTCAGTGAGTCACAGAGATGATGAACACAGTTGTTTCAGTTGAATGCAGTTGTTAGTAATGTAGCATGTAATTTCTCGGGGCATCTCTCAGCATCTGTCATTGCGGTTACCAGTCTCTTATTTACTGCAGTGAGCTGAGAGCAGTAATTATACGGGCTCCAGCGATGAGGTCCACTCAACCTAGCCTCCCCCCAGAGGCAAGACGCTGTCTGAGTGATGCTATTCAATCCCCTTCCCTCTGCAGGAACCTAGGGAGCCTGTGTTACATCAAGGTGTCACCCACCTAATTGATCAAATGTATTTAATTCCAGAGAGTGACCCCGCCCTCCGGGTGGTGTACTGTAAGGTACGCAGCACATTTCTATTCAGACGTGTGCTTATTTAACAGATTAGCGTGCAACCACACGTATGATATGAGAAGGAGAAAAGGGGATCGGAGGGCAAATCATCCCCTCTTTCTCTCTCTCCATCACTCCTTGTCTAATCTGAGTATGTGCCATGCAGATGTGAAAATTGCATTTCAATGCTTTAAAACATTTCCTCGAGTGCACCAAACAGCTTATTTTCCTTTTAAAACCTTAAATACATCAAAAGGGTTACCACATAGATTTTATTTTTAGATAGCGGTAAAAACTGATCTTGAAATGGGCTTACATAGCATCCGATTTCTATCTCTATAATGGGAAGTACATGGTCTGACAGTTTCAATGAAGAAAAAAAACAGAACTGTACATATTCTTAAGAGATAAGGTCTTTAAAAAAGAAGAGGGGTGAAAAAAGACCAAGATGACAGCCCTTACACCAAGTATGAATGGCAAATTAATTTATTTCTCAGGGAAAATATTTGGCAAGGCGAGCGCTCCCTCTTTAAAAGAAAAAAAAAAGGCATCACCTGTTGGAATATGAATCATGATCTAGCGAGGTATGTTCTTTTGTGACACCAAATGACACGGGAAGGTCAGTGGCACTTGTATCTGTTTAATGGATTGGATTAAGTGGAGGCTGCCTCTTCGGCTGCTGCCGTTTCCTTTTATAATGTAACTTTTTGTTCTCGGAGAGGCGGCAGGCTGGGGAGGCGCTGTTCCACTCAGGGATTTCACATGGTACAAAGTATGGTGACAGGTGCAAAAAAACAATTCTCCTGGTATTAAGGAAGGTGACTTCACATTTGCTTTATACAATCATTTATTCTGTCACTACTCTTTGTTTAGGAAATGCTACATGCAGTGTAGCTACTACTGGAGATTTCTCTAAGGCAATTTTCCACAGGCTGTTTTGGTAGATGACATCAAGCGTGTGTTTCTTCCCTGAGACAGCAGGATCTGTGCAGTAAGCATCCTGGCTTCCTCATGTATCTGAGACTTTTCCTCTGTTCAGGCAGCTCTCTCAGGCCCATAGAGGGAGTACTGTGTACATGGTGGTGGGGAGGAGTGTCAGACTCACTGCAGTTTCAAATCTGGGTTAGGGAATACAACATTGCCACATTCATGATGTTTAGGATGTCTCTCGCTCTCTCTCAACATAGGGAGAGCTCCAAAGAGGCCGGAACAGGGGACATGCTGTACAGTCATTCCATAGAAAGGGTTAAACCCCCTCCTTTGCAGAGTTGATGTAAAACACACACGTTATGTAACAGGGTGGGTAGTTGGTATGTGGGGGGCGGTGGTCCAAACCAATTACGAGTGGTTCTCTGGAGGTGGGGAACGACCTTTGTGTATAATTAGTCATCTTATTTAAAGCAAAGATTTTGAGTAGAATAACTAATTAGCTGTCATAAAAGGCAAATGAAAGATCTTTGTGTGATCCCTGAGGGAATTGAGGAAACCTGATTGTTTTGCTATGCGCATGCACAAACCACACACACACACACACACACACACACAGCACTCTCTCTCTCCTCATTAAGACTGTTTTTAGTTGTGTGGAAGGCTGACAGGCGAGCACTGTTGGCATACCTGCAGAGAGCTCCTCTAACAAGCCATGAAATGCAGGTAGAACAGACCACCCTTAGCTAGTGTGGCTTCAATTTGAAGCTTTTTACCTTCATTTACACTGAACATTGGTATTTATAGCGGGTTTTGTGATCCTAATGCACCAGCTTCAAGGGGCCCGTTTTGAGGAGGGAGGAGGTGAGGGAGCTGGAGGGTAGGCAGAACACTAATTGATGGTTCCCATCACCAGCGCTGGACCAATTAGCCTCCCCTTTCCACTTGTGTTAAAGAAATAGGACGAAGGCTGAATACCACCAGCGCTCTTATTCACATACAAACCAAAGCCATCAATTTAACTAACAAGCTCTCCCTTTCCCTTATTTTAAAAGGGAAGATGCTAATTATATTACATTCACAGTATTACTGATGGTCAGAAATTGCTGAACAAATCTGGATCCAATAAGGTGTGTGTGTGTGTGTGTGTGTGTGTGTGTGTGTGTGTGTGTGTGTGTGTGTGAAAGAGGGAGACAGGAAAATGTGCTTAGGTATTCAGACAAACAAAGTACTTTGTGACAAAGTGCTATGAGGTTTTAGTGCGGGGGAAAACCCACATGCTCAGAGAGGAGAAACGGGGGCATTGGGTGATACACTGCCTAGCTACCAGCAGAGGCTCTGTTTATCATGGAAATAACTACTATGGTTCCAGTCAAACTACAGGGTTGCTGCCCAACACCACTGACATCCAAACACAACCCCATACAACTACAGAGGACAGAGCGGTACTCTCCTGTAACGGCCATCATCTCGCTCAGTCATATATGCTGTAGGTCAATAGCAACTGCCTTTACTAGAACACAACACCTCAACAACAGATCACCTCAGAGGATAAAGACAAAACATCTAGAAAATGTACTGAAGTTGCTACAGGGGGGAAAAAGCTATGAAATTCAAAGAAAGCCTCCCGGCATACCATGTCTTTAAACCATCGGGCTTTTGCCGTTTTATAGGCACCCACATACAAAGCGATGGCCGTCCTCCCTCCCTGTGACGCAGCCCAAGTCCGTTTTTTGAGAGAAATGTGTTTTGAAAGCAGAGAGGCGAGCGGTGGCCGCCGTGTGTTCTATTAGACAGATCAATAGCTCAGTGTGTGAGAGAGTGTCTTAAGAGCTGTTGTCCTGTGCTTTCAGCTGTGGCAGACCTGTTAGTGCTACGGAGGGGTGCCGCCTGCCACTGCCTCTGTACCAGCAGTGGCCTGAGGGGGGCTTTTAGTCCAAACACAAATGTCAACCACACATAGACTATTAGTGTTTAGTGCAGTTATTAAATTGACTTTATTTGTCCTTTAGGAGGCTAAAAGGCACACTTAAAGGGGACCTGCGTGACAGCGGGGCAATTTGCGGGTTTGGTTACTCAGGTTCGCTCGTTGCTGACACGAGTACAGATAAGTGTAAAAGAAGGAAAGGCTGTAATGCAGCGAGCGAGCGTGGTGTGTGTGTGTGTGTCTGTGTGAGTGCACGCTGAGAGGCACTTAGGCCATAACATATCTCACTGGGGTCTGCGAGCAGCGTTCTTGTGGTCAGAGGCGTTTTAAAAGGTTAATGTTAATCTATACCAAACAAAGCCCATGAGAAGCTTTTACAGCTGTGGACAGTTCAGACCAATGAGCGCTGATGAAATGGTAGGTGACTAACATAATATACAGCATGCTGTAAATACCACGGTAAGCAACATGAGGCCTGTCTGTGACTCTGTTACCAGTACAGCTTCAAAAAACAGTAGGCCTGCCTACGTAGTATGTCCCTCTTGCATTGTATGTGATTTACCCAGTTCCAATGGGAGCAGCAAGTGGAGTGAATGTAGTCCAATGTGACCTGTGTGATTGTTCATGCATATGAAGCAGAGAGGCAGTGCACTGTGGCCCTCCTCTCTCTCGTTAGGCTCCGCCGCCTCCAGATGCTGCAGCAGCAGCCTTATCAAAAAGAGAACATGAAAAGTCACTGGTGTTCCTGGGCAGTGAATCACGCCGCGCCGTTTGTCTCCTTATCGCTACAGGTGTGCCGATGCTCTCCGTCCAGCCCAAAGGGAAACAGAAGGGGTGCGCTGGCTGCAATCGCAAGATTAAAGACCGCTACCTGCTCAAGGCCCTGGACAAATACTGGCACGAGGACTGTCTGAAATGTGCATGCTGCGACTGTCGCCTGGGGGAGGTGGGCTCCACCCTCTACACGAAAGCCAACCTCATCCTCTGTCGCAGGGACTACCTGAGGTAAGAGATGCCACAGTCAGTCGCCCCTCTCACAGAACAGAAAGGCCGCGCCCCACCCAGGGCTGTGTCATTAAAAAGTGCTCTCTCTCTCTCTCACTACCGCTAGCGTAGAGCCACCATGAATGTCTATGAACCTGCCTCTCACTAGAGCTCTCCATTTGGGTCCATTTGTATGTGAACCAGTGTTTTTTTTTCTCAAGCTTTTAGAAGACATTTCCTCCCAGGCTGTTTTGGTAGATCAAGCGCCTGTTTGTTCCTCATTACAGGATATCGATGCTGACTAGATGTGTGTCAATTAAGCCTGAATCCCATTATGCTCATGTGCTGACTCTCCCCAGGCTCTTGATCTTAAGCCTTGGGAAGGCAGAGCGGAAAGTTTCCAGTTCCACGTTTTAGCTCTTTTTCTGTTTCAATTTTTTTGTTGCTTGTTTACATGAACACAGCACTCTCCCCTCGCGGTAAAGACCTGGTTTCAATAACAGTAAAGCTGGGTCATGTTGTGTTATGGGAAGACTCCAGGCAGGCTAATGTCAACCGCAGTGTCTGTGGCTCAATGTTTTCCCCCTGTACCTCCCCTGCCATCTGCTTGCTAAATTAAACATGATCATTTCCTGGGCGTTAAGTCTCATTCCCTGGGGCTTCCGAATAAGATCCTACCATTTATCCCTGAGACCATCCCCTGGGGACCAGCCTAGAGACCTTGCTGCCCCTGGCCTCTCCCTGTCTCTCGCCTCCCTCTCCCGCCGTGCCCTACCAACAGGTCCCAACCGAAAGGGGCTTAGGGGCCGGGCGTTGAGAGGAGCCATTACCATCCATCAGCTCCCACCCAGAGTTAATGCTGTTAAGATGCAGTGAGAGGTTCACTAAGACTGCTGCTGCCCCTGGAAGGGGCAGATGGTGCAGATGAGGTCATCATAAACGGAGCAAATGACAAGAGAAGGCAAAAATTATTAGGCCCAGAGTGGCGCTTTTGACATGGTTAAATATGATCCCCTGAAAGGGCCGGCTTCTCCCTCCCTCCATCTGATTGATTTCTCCTCCCATTATGAAGGCCTTATCGTGGACATCAGCTCCCTGATGAAAATGTGTTCCTATGGCGCAGGCCAGAAGGTGCTAACTGGCCTGACAGGCAACTCTGCAGAAAGCAAACTCAAAGCAAGACTAGGGCAGAGAGGTGAAGAGGGAAGAAAATGAGGGGCAGAGGGGGCTAGTGTGAGCGGGAGAAAGCAAGGGAGAGAGACGTAGAGTAAGAGAGAGGAGGGGGAGAGAGATGGGCTTTCTGTGTTTCTGCCTGGGCCCTGATGGCCTAATGAAATCCAGCCCACTCGTCTGCTCTTCAGCCTGAGACAAATGCATGCCACTTAATGACTGGAGATGTTTGAGATTAATTCTATTATGGAACAAATTAAAAACGTTCCCTTTCTCAGCAGTGAGAGAAGAGACCGTTTTAGAGCTTAGAGTTTTAAAGTAGGTGACGCAGGCTCCATACGGCCTTGTAATCCCCTCACAGAGCCCCCGTCCTGCACGGAGAGAGGAACGCTTCCCCTCACCTCCATTAATGAATGGAATCCTACTGTATGGAGCTGCAGTTCATTAGAGACATGCAGCCAGGGTGGATCAAACACTCTTTATTTCCCTGGGTTTGGAGCCCTGCCATGCGCACATTAATTATGATAGGAGCTCCGTCTGTGTTCGTCCTTCAGGAGCTCAGGAGCACCGGTAACATCTTGTGCACCCCCCCCCACCCCCATCCCCCTCAAATTTCCCCTCCACCCCCTTCCCCCTGCTCTCCCCTGCCTGGCCCGCCAGCAGCGTCTTCTAAAACCTCGCATCAGAAGTTTCTGAATCCACTTGACATTCTATTCCCTCCGTTGGAAAAGGCTGGGTTGGTTTATTAGCAGTTTTGCCACACTTTCATTATCACAGAGAACAATAGATTAATTAGGTGTTTCATTTTTGTCTGGGACTCAGGATCTGGCGACCTAGCCAAAGAAGGTTGACAAGCCAGTCATGCTTTTGATCGCCCGGACACCAAGCCTGAAATCGTTTTATCTTCTAACTATTGAATATTTTAGGGGGAACATACTGTATCAGTCATCTACTTATCAAAGTAGAGTGCTTTTAATTGAAATGTAAAACCACTTTTTTTCAAGCTAATGGACATTGTAACTTATGCAGTACCGACGGCACTGCAATGGAAGTAGATATTAATAAGATGTTTTGATGACAGTTTATCTGTGGATGTATTCTTGTATGTCAAACTGCTCTGCCACCCACCAGAGAGAAAAAATACCTATAAGAAAACAGTTACTTTCCTCACATAAAGTAGTTGAATTTTCTGCCAACATTTTAAAATCTATACAGGAAGCTTTATCCCTTCAAAGACAGAACTGTTGAGGAAGGTCAAAACACGCCTTACATGCATTAATACAGTAGCTCTCCTTTCTATGAAATCGGACAAACTGTACATGGAGCGGTGAATCTTAAAGAGCTTAGAGAACAGCGCAGAAGACATGAAGTCTCCCGAGTGGTGCAGTGGTCTAAGGCACTGCATCGCAGTGCTAGCTGTGCCACTAGAGATCCTGGTTCGTATCCAGGCTCTGTCATAGCCGGCCGCGACCGGGAGACCCATGGGGCGGTGCACAATTGTCCCAGGGTAGGGGAGGGAATGGCCGGCAGGGAAGTAGCTCAGTTGGTAGAGCATGGCGTTTGCAATGCCAGGGTTGTGGGTTCGATTCCCACGGGGGGCCAGTATGATTTGTTTTATTTTTTATATAATGTATGCACTCACTAACTGTAAGTCACTCTGGATAAGAGCGTCTGCTAAATGACTAAAATGTAAATGTAAAGAGCTCAATCTCAATGAAACAGTAGACATGCAGATGATGCTGGCATGCAGGGGGAGAGTTTGAAGTTAGCGAAGCAGCAAGCTCAAACAGCTAAAGAAAGCACACCTGTTTCTACAGATCCACACTAAATCACACAATAACAGAAGGAGTGGAACAATGGAGGAGAGCCACTTTAATACCAGTTTATTTTGTTTCAACCAGCCAACATCAGTGGAGGAAAATGACTTCCTGTATAAACTATTTTGTTTGTTATTTTCTCTCTTAAAGCTGTGGTGTTTTTTCTCTCAATCTTGGCAGTGAACAGTTTACGGCAGTGGTTCCCAACCTTTTTCGGTTACTGTACCACCAACTAAATTTGACTCAGCTCGGATTACCCCTGATGTACCCCCCCCCATGTGCATTTGACCAGTAGGCCTATGGTCTCATTAGTCTTCTCAAGTACCCCCTATGGATGGGCCAAGTACCCCCAGGGGTCCTAGTACCACTAGTTGGGAACCACTGGTTTACGGCATGCTAAATCTGCCATATCTTTGGTCATATGCATTTATTTCTATGGCAGTCTGTTGAAGATCAAGTAAAAAATGTCAGTTCAATTATTCTACAAGCACACACTGTATGCTATTTTCTTACTGTATACAGTATGGATTGAAATAGATATGCTGTGACAGGTCATTTCACAACTCTAAGACAGAGAATATGAAAGTCCTTCAGCACCCTCACTGGAAAGTCCCACTAAACGACCTCACCATGGTAATGGCTGGTTTCACTTTATCTTACATTTATACAGCTTCAAAATCCATCCCATTGTGTCTCACAGTTTGTGGGTGACCTTCCAAATGAGTATTTGTAACCCTCTAATCCACTTAAATGAACCACTGAAGACTCTATTTTAAGCTGGGCCCTTTCTGTGCTTCAAACCCTGCCTAAAAATGATGACTTCTTAACAAACTAGGATTGGCTGCGGTCTGTAGTGAGGGGCAATGTAGTCTGCCCTCAAATTTTCCGCAGAATTCATACTGCACTTGAATGGACAAACTGGACAAATCGTATTCATGTCGAAATAATTTGTATACCAGTTGTGAGCATATTGACTTTTCTTAATCCTAACAGACAAGAAAATGATAATACCAGTCAAACAGTACAGTATGCGATTACGATGTGGGAATTCAGCAGAAAATAGTGTATGATTTGTAATCATTCTTAAAAGAACTCAAATCTCTATGGTATGGTGAATTGCCATTTAAGGTTTTGTGATTCTCATTCCCACCCGGCTCTCCCTAGTGCTATGCATGCTGGTCTCTGTAGTCCCTATTCCACAGTGCCCTCCCACTAAATGGTCAGCACAGTGTCTCGGTCCATTACTCAAAGTGCACTGCAGTCCCTATATCAACCACAGAGCCCAGGGCCCACACCACCATAACACTGAAACATAACCTACATGATGGCTTTACATCACTAACATGTCCCCTGGGACGCATACAACACTGCATATAATAAAGCATCCATATTCACAGGGCCAGTCAAGTAGCAGGTCAGCACACACACAGAAGGACAGACTAGGTCTGAGTCAGACCACAGATATGATAATAGCCTGGTTTAGTTTGAGCTAGAAATGATGCTGATTTGTTTGGGATAAAACAGAATCAATACAGAATACATTATTGGGTCCGTTTCATCTGTTGTTTTTTAAAGAGGAAAGAAATCACTGATGTAACATGAATAAATCTAAAAGCCTGACAACAATCATTTTAACAAGTGGGTTTGAGCAGCAGCACCTGGTCTGGGTGGCATGGAAAGCTCTGCATTCCAGAGGTCTATATCAACACACTTTACTGGAACAGTAACCAGTTCTAACAATGGGTCTGTTCAACACCTCGTATATCTATTAGAACCAAACAGCTCTGTCTCGCTCTCTTTCTCCTAGTCTAAGGCACCAGCACCTCTCCTATGGGGCAGTGTGCTCTAATTAGACCCTGGGTCTGCTGGAGGGATAGATGTTTTCTGTGACAAGGGGAGAGCAACCGACAGAGACTAATATGGAGAGGGGATACCAACTTTTGACTATTCTCTCCGTCTGAGGCTCTGATCCCACAACTTTAGCAAAGTGTTTAACATACTGTCAGAGTGGCAATCTGCTGTCGCCTGCCTGATCCCCTCTCGCAAAGCTGTGGCGCTGTCCCCTTTTCCTGCCTGCAGAATGCACAAGTCTATCTGTGATTCAAATTAAAAATAAGGGCAGGCGCTTGGAAAATGTAAATGTGACTGGAGGCATGCAGGATGGAGTGGAGTTGCCTTTGCTTTGAGGAGAATGAGATCTACACCAGTGCCTCTTGCTCTGCTTGTGACCTTCATTGTTTGCCTCCTATCTAATAAGCTTAAACAAACCGCAGTGAAATGTGAGTTGTGCGTCTGTTCAGTGTACTGCCGAACATGTAGTCTCCCAGGCAGTCTCTGAATGAGAGAGTGAGGGGGATAGAGGCAGTATCCTTGTAACAGGAATCTTTTGAACTTTTGACTACATTATAGAATTTAGCCTCTTGTGTAAAATCCAGCTGCCTTTGGTTGGAGCAAGTCTCATTAGGTACTTTGGTTTTAAAATAAGAACTTTCAACAGTTCAATTGGTTGCCTCAGACCTGTTTTCATTGCTTTCGCTATGTGCTAGGAGAAAGGCTTTGAAGAAGGGGATTAGAACCATGTGATCATTTTAATTAGATCATTAGCAAAGAATTAACATCTAGGTTTGTAACCCTCATTAACAAAAAATACCAGTGTGTGCCAAGATAGATTTGTGTATTACATGAGATGTTTTCGGATTTGTCTGTTTTTCACCGTTCTTTCTGTGGGTTTTTTTCTTGGCTTTACATTTTGTTCACTCCTCTGTTGCATGAAGGCTAAGGAAGGTACGTTAATCTTTGTCTGTATTCTCTCTCTGTCTCTTCCAGGCTCTTTGGTACAACAGGGAACTGCGCTGCCTGCAGTAAACTGATCCCAGCCTTTGAAATGGTGATGAGAGCCAGAGATAATGTTTACCATTTGGACTGTTTTGCCTGTCAGCTTTGTAACCAGAGGTAAGGAGAGAGATCACAACTGTGTCGAGAGATTGCCTTTTTCAAATATGTAACGCTGTTCTGAAATGGCCATTAGCTCAAACTAGTTAGCCATTTATCGAAAAACCTGTCTCTTGAGGTGCGACAGATCTGTTTTGGGGTCAGTAAAACTAAACCCAGACATGTCTGTGTAAATCCTGATTTTGTCTGTCTTCCCATTTTGAAAGCACACGTGCTGCATTGCAATAGCAACGCTCTGTTCATTCTTTTCTATGTTGACCCTGCCATTAGTTTGTCCTTGTTTGTGTTTTGTGACTAGAAACAACTGGGATTATAAGCTTGAGGGGAACACAATTCAAAAGTGATACAGCTGCCAGACCAATGCCAAGGCTAATCACACTCACAACACTCAATGCTTTAGTTGAAAGGTTCACTTTAAGCCACTGCAATAGACCACCAAGAGGCCACTCTACGGGAACATGCCTCACTAGTTTGGGTACCACACTACAGGGTAGTGGAATTAAACATTCACTCGGTCCTGACAGCTCCTCACCTGTGAGCTCTACACTATGACATCCATACATACTCTCCTCACAATACGATGCAACAATTCCATAACATTACCACTGTGCAGCACAGAGAACACTCTGCTGTGAACATGGGGTATTGTGACCCTCTCCATCCATACCGCACAAGCACATTAACCTTCCACAGGGATGAGTCAGTAACCATGGTGAGCACCTGGCTGGGGTATGGGAATGCTGGCTGCAGCCACTCTGCTCAGGGCCACACATGGGGCCAGGCTTTACTGGCTCACTGATACCACGGCCATGGCCCCTCTGCCAGCCCTCAGCCTGCCCAACACATTACTGTAGCCCAGCCTGATAAGCAGCCCTGCCATCAGTACGGCTGCTCTTATCTTCACTCATTCTTTCTATGGAGCTGTGTGTCGTACAGTACATAAGCACCGCCATTTAAAAGGACATCAGTGGGCCTACTTGGGTGTGCGTTTTTTCTTCAATTGACTCGAAATCTAGAGAGAAACATTCATGCACGTTGGCACCCAAACTGGCGTATGGAAAGCTCGCCCTGTGGCAGGGTTTCCTTGGAAACCGGTGTGGTGCTTTTCTTGTTTGCCAAACCTGGGAGGGGACTGTGCTTTCATTGGGTGCCAGTCCTCTTGTCCGCACGCTTTGAAATGATAGTTTTTTTTATCTACTCGTATTTGAAGCCACACCTTCACAGTGACCATCAGAGGGGCCTTTGAATCACACACAAGGAACAATGGCATTTGCAAACAAGCGACGTCGCCAAACGGGTACAATCAAAGCCCAGAGAGCAGCAATGGCCATCGCCTTTAACTGCTGATCTCAATCAACCACATTCTTCTCCCAGAGCAATGCTATCATTATCAGCCCGTCAACACAAAGCCCTCTGTCATGTTGTCAGCTACTAATCTCCTTTGTCTCCCCACGTTGTCCACCTTTTTAGTAATGCTTTGCCTTTGTGTTTTCCTGGCTGGCAGGTTTTGTGTGGGGGACAAGTTTTTCCTTAAGAACAACATGATTCTGTGTCAGATGGACTATGAGGAGGGCCAGCTGAACGGCAGCTTTGAGACGCAGGTTCAATAGCCGGGCCCAGTGGCAGCAACCAGGACCCTCGGCCCGCCGTACTTACACATGATGCCATGGATGTTCTGCTGCACTTGGAAAAAGGAGCGTCTGTCTGCTTGCCTGCAATACTTTTTAAATAGCCCTTTATCAGTCCATAAGGACTCTATTGTAAATGTACTACTTTTAGCCCCTCCCCTTCCCACCCCAACACTGAGCAGTTACAAGTTTTGATGTACAGTTGTGCCTGCTTAGCTGAGCACTGTATTGCTTGTATGTTTTTGTGATGTTTGTTTTGGGTTTGTTTATTATTTTCCCCTTTCGGGAACGTTTCCTTGGATGGTATGTACAGTCTGTTTTCTCTGTATATATAAACTGGAACATTTATTTTATGAAATGTAATGCAATTTTATTACTAGTGTGAATTAAAGATTCTTAAATGTTCATAGTGAGTTTTTTTGTTCGTATGTGTTGCTATATCATTATCTCTCCAAAACCACAGAGCTGTAAAAAAGCCTTGTGAGAAAAAAATATATTTGAAGTTCTTTTTTAAAAGTGATGGAGGAAAAAATGAAGTTTTATTACATTTTGCAAAGAGTGCTGATGGAATTAGAAATGCTGTTTCAAATGAACTAAATAAGATTTTATTTGGAATAAAATAATGACTTCTCCAGACTGTGTTGTTGTACTGAGCTGAGCGTGCAGGTGTCGTGAAAGAAGTGGTGTTTGGATGAGAACGCAGAGAGCGAGCGAGAGAGTCTGCACCCACTGAATCATGCCTCGCTAATTGCCATCTGATTATGAGTGTGAATTGGCTCGGAAATGAAATGCACCAGCAAATAACAAATTAGATAGATAATAAATGCTCATTGCATTTGAGTTTATTCTAACTAGATGTGGAGCTGCAATAACCAATTTAGGTTGGTGGCACCATCACTATTTATCTGAGAGGTGAAGGCAAGGAGCAAAACTCAAGACTTGGTTGCATCATATCTTATTATGAAATAGAATTGTATATACAGTGTGGTATACTGGAATTGCATGATACAGTTTATTAGTTGATACTGTATTAGCAAAAAAGATCACCTGAAACTGTCTATCAGATAGAAAGTAACCAAAAATGTGAGACATTCCATAGGATGCAATGTTTGAGACCTACAATAAGGCACTGTCCACTTTAAGAGAGAATTATGAGTAAAAGCAAAGCTTGCCTTGAACATATGGGATATTAAAAGAGAGCGGAGCATATTCCACAGATCTGAATAGCTTTTATGTACAAAGGCATTGCAATTAAGGGATTGCTACTTAGGTGACACGATCCTTTGTCATACTACTTTTGATTTTCATCGGTTGGTGGTAATTCTTGTTTCTATGGGCTCAGAGCCACAGGAGACCTGCTTTGCAGCGTTTCTGCCATTTAAAGCAATTAGCTTCATTCATCCTGAGCAAAAATTGTGAGGAAACCAGTTGGCGTCTTTGAGCATATTGAAATTTCATTTAAGCATGTCTAACACCTTAGGTAAGAAAAAAATATATAAAACAAACTCTTCTAAGTTTCTCTAAATTGACCCTTTTTACTATGTTTTTCAAAAGTTGAAAGGACAGAAGTAATTAAAGAGAACAAATATCAGTGTCTTTTTTAAAATGTTAAGTAGTAAAAACTCCCCAAATAAAATGCAATGTATTCATATCATACTTTTTATAGACCTATATTCTAAATGTACAGCGTAAAAAAATAGATAAGGTTGCATTCCTTTTGAGTGTTCAAATCTGGCCCTCGGTCAGCCTTGGATTACTGTGCCACAATGACATCACATGTTTTGGTAGTGATGTCAGAGCTCTCAGCTCAGAGGGAACACCACTCCCCTCCTTAGTGGGACTTAACAAGTCAGGAACATGTTATAGCATATAGCCTTGCTTCCTAGTTCCTACTGCCACAACACATGCTGTAACAGTACATACAGTTGATATAAAACCTGTGCTCCCTCCAAACATTCACACAATCAAGTGTCATATAAACAAACGTGATACCTCAACACAAACCCAGAACCCACTCTGCACACTGAGTCACAAGGCAAAGAGCTAGGCCGTGTCTGGTCGGTGCAAAACCCAAATGGAGCAATCAGTGTAATCATAATAAAGGAGGTAAGGCTTTTAATGGCAGTAATTAACATGCTGGAGGTTTTTACAGGTGCACACAGAGAGCACTGTGTGTTAGGGGTATACAGGAGGGTGACTGTGGGCCAGCCAGCATGTGACTGGGACTGTCAAGGTTATGGGAAAGGCAGAGAACAATTGCCAAATGATCATAAACTTTTAATGTTTCTCCTCCACCTGCATAGCTGTGGCATTTACAGCTGGACGTGGGGAACACATGTAAACTGAACTTTCCAGTTTCTGCAGGACACACACAACTCCTATTCAGCACCCCCCCCGATTCTTCCATTTCCTCTTTGCTTATGCGGCTGGCTGTACCTCAGATTCTGGGCAATGTGTGACATTCTGGAAGCACATTATTCCAGCAGAAAGCAGACCAGCGACATAATTTGCTAACAAATAAATCAAGTGTGCAATGAGCATTAATTAGAAATTCATTAAAAATTCAGACTCACTGGCAGGTGTGCAAATAAATGATTAGCAAGACATCAATTACACCACATAAGAGTACCTTTAAATTGCAGCTCCTGGATTGATTTACAGAGGGAGACAATCAGGCTCTGTGCAAGACGGCTGATTGCTAATTTTTTTGAAATATAATGAGGAAAAGACCTCACCAGGTTACACTGTGTCCTCAGCTGCACACACACACACACACACACACACAGAGAGAGAGAGAGAAACACACACACTGCTGGTATCCAACCCATCTGCTTATGTTGGTGGAGAAGTTATTAAGCATGTTGAGAAGTTATGACTCAAGTCAGTGAATGAATTCTCCAGCCTCCCTCCACTGTGTTCCTGATTACTGCATTATGGCATCTGCTTAATTAGCTGGGCTTGTGTCATGTGCTGCACACCAGGGGGAGGTGGAGAAATGCCCTTCACTCCAGCTCAGTTAGTATACCAGCGTTCCCTCACTCCATATGATCTACAATACCTTCTCCTGTGTTACAGTAGATCTTACTTTTACACTTTGCATACAGTAGTTTGTTCCATACATTCATCTATAAAGGGTTTATCTCACTCTATCCATATACTAAGCCAAATGAACTGTTATTGTTAGGTTCCAACATCCTCTCCATTACTATTTGAGAAGAGTTGGTGTTTCACTATGGTAGGTTAGTCTAAGATGATGATCTTTGTCACAAGGTGTGTGTCTGTCTATCCATGTGACCAGTGTGATGGGCTTGTCCCAGTGGAAGCCCTCCCTATGCATTAGGACAGTAGTGGAGGCCTGGGCCTCTGTCTGTCTGCAGCTCATTCCCTGGGCCTCCCTGCCTGGACTATGTTTACCAAATGAGCTGCCTGCCACTGGCATTACATTTACATTTTAGTCATTTAGCAGACGCTCTTATCCAGAGTGACTTACAGTTAGTGAGTGCATACATTCTTTTTTTATAATTTTTTTTCATACTGGCCCCCCGTGGGAATCGAACCCACAACCCTGGCGTTGCAAACGCCATGCTCTACCAACTGAGCTACATCCCTGCCGGCCATTCCCTCCCCTACCCTGGACGACGCTGGGCCAATTGTGCGCCGCCCCATGGGTCTCCCGGTCGCGGCCGGCTACGACAGAGCCTGGATTCAAACCAGGATCTCTAGTGGCACAGCTAGCACTGCGATGCAGTGCCTTAGACCACTGCGCCACTCGGGAGACAACTCGGGCATCACCACCACTCTGATGGGTCTATCATTACAGACGTCTAAGCACAACTGATGGACCAACATAAAAACACAGAGCCAGGAGACAGCCGTGTGTGTGTGTGTGTGTGTGTGTGTGTGTGTGTGTGTGTGTGTGCGTGCACGTGCACGTGCGTGTATCAGTGAATCTGTTCCAGTCCAGAAGGATGTTGTGTAAGGGTATAACACTCAAATAGCACATTTAACAAAATATTTATATAATAATGTATACACCATTTAGCAGACACTTTTATACAACGCAACTTACAGTCACATATGGGTGGTCCCGGGAATTGAACCCACTATCCTTGCAAGCGCCATGAACTACCAACTGAGCTACAGAGTGCTATGTACTGTAGTAGCATATATTAGAGCTACATATTACAGTATCCTTGGCAAACATTCTTCATGTTCTACATACAAACAGCCTGCCAAGAAATGCATATAAAACTGAAATAAATGACTACAGATGCGTAAACTCGCCCTGATAGAAGTTTACTTATTCTGTGATCTCATTCTTAAATTAAACCAATTTGCCTAGAAATTGGTTCTAAGGTCTACATGAAGAGTTCTGTACATCAGCACCACCACACACACACACACACACACACACACACACTTTCACAGTCACACTGCCTCCCACCCCTTCCCTCGCTGCAAATCATGTTTGACTTTGAAGTGCTAATTTTGGAAGTTTAGCCAATTTTTATTTGCTGCTTTGAAATGTATCCTCTAAGCTGCTTCACCAGCAATGAAATATACAGACCTTTACAATGAGGGATAAGTGACCAAAATGAGAAGCGCCTGGTTTTCTCCTCCACATTATATAACTGTGAATAATCTGCACATTGCATTTGCTCCTATGGCATTACTGAATTACTGACTCAATTTATTTTCACAAACATTACGCAGACACTCACTTCTACCTCATTTGATAAGCTACCTTCCTCCAGAGCTCACTGCAGGAACTCTATGATGCTCATGACAAACAAAAAATGTTATACATAAGAAATGTAAAAATACTAAACCCAAAGAGTTCATTTTGTCACAAAATGTGAAATCTTTTAGACTTATAATACATAAGATGAATAGCTCGATCACTAGAAAAACGAAGCAATGTAAAATCATTGTTTTGCACTTTTTGTCCAAATGAGCGTAACAGAATAATATGATACAGCAGT